CTAATTTCAAAGAATTTTTTCAGATCAATTTCCAAGAGTTCGATTCCGAAAAAATTGCACTTTTTTATTTTTGCATATAGCTGTTATAATATGAAAACGATAAATATAATTTGTAAATTTATATTAAAACATAAAAATAATCATTTAAATGCAAATTCACAATTAGTAATGCAAAAACTATAAAAAAAAAAAAGAACAGAGTAAAAGTCTCTTACATGAGATAAGTTATAATCCTTTTCTAAAGACAGGAAATTTTCTGAAGCCTTAATTAATGTGACTGATCCTTTGATGTTTTTATTTGGTGTATAAATTGTATTAGCCGCTAACTTTTTATATAAAAGATATCCGGCAATTTTTAGGTCATTTTGTGAAAATGGTGTGTTCCCAATCACTTGTACCATTTTGTCAAACATTTCCACTTCCGATTTACTCTGCTTTAGAACATTATACGCCTAAAATAATAACATTGCATATTATAAAACAGATATTTGAACTTATACAATGCACTTCAATTGTTGTGCTTTTGTAAATTGTTTGATTTATAATTATTTCCTATATTATTATTTAGGGAGAGTCCCATTAGCGGACGGTGCGATAGCACACATACACTCACATCAGGGATGCTTAAGAATTTTTCAATGGACTACTAATTAGAAAATTTTATATTTAATTGGCCAATCAGTGTTGTGTACTATTTTACTAGTTGTAAGGGGACTCCTCTCGCATATTACAACTAGTAAAATTGGAAAAAAAAAAAAAATAATTAAATTCCAAATCCTAAAGAGATAAAAACTCATTAATTACTTGCATGAATAATAAATATCTCACATATTGTATAGATGCGTGCGCGCACCCATATTGTGAGTAAATATTACAATAACAATTTTAGTTATAATAATATCGTCATCGATTACACTTTAACAAAATACAATTTATATAAAATATATATTTTGGATTTTTTTTATTACATGCACATTTTTATCTCTTTACTCGAAGATACAGTAATAAAATAGATAGGAATAATACTTACTTCAATTAAACTGAGTTTCTTGTTAAATTGTATGCTGAAATACGCCAATGCTTTCATACAACCTTCAGAAGTAATATGTTTTTTCACGTCTAATTTGCCAATCATATCACATTGTTGTCGCACGAATTCCAATGAACCATCGATTAAACTCAGAATCACCTTTTCTCCAGCGGATTCCAATTGCAGAGTTATCTCAATGGCGATACAAGTTCCAAACGAATATGCTGCCAAGTGGTACGGTCCCTTTTTCTGAATTTTTTTAATGATATTTATGTAATACATAGCCAAGTCCTGTATTGTTTCGTAAGGTGCTTGTTCAATACTTTGCAAACCCCATAATGGCCTCTCAAGTTCACTAGCTATGTATTCTAGCGGTTTAACGAAGCCTTCAATACCAGGAATGATGAACATCATCGGTCCATTGGAGCTTTTTGTTTTCATACGAATGACTGCTTCTTTAGGCAGTATGTCGTCGCTCGGCCACTGCATCAGCAGCATATTAACTGACATATCCATGTCTGCAGCAGTAATCGCATTTGTAGCGAGAGGTTCCTTCGTTGTCTCGACATTTGTCGAGGATAATTCTTGCAATTTGGCAAATGTTAAACCACGGATCTCTTGAGGTGACAACATGATATCGTAATTTCTTTCGAGAGTTTGTTTTATTTCCGTACCCATCAATGAGTCCATACCTAAGTCGGACAGGGTATCATTAGGACTGATCTTGTCAAAATCTTTAATGCCTAGGATGTTGCCAATGATTTTAATGAGGCTGATTTTGTTGCTCTCGTCGGATTTATGTTTCTCGGCTAGTACTGTAGAACTCAACACTGGATGCGGTTGTTGAAGGAATAAATCCATCGTCTCGAGACAACTCGACATGAATTGTGGTACAGTACCGCTCACCTCGATATCATTACCTCCCATCATTTCTGAAGAAATAATATAGTAGAAATAATATAGTAAAGAATAGATTATAAAATATATTATACGTATAAATCTAGAGCAGTGACATACAAAGTGCACATCTTTACTTTGTTATTATTGTGTTTTTATTATGTAAATTGTTATGCCAATGAATGTTTTTATAAAATGTTTTTACAAAAACAGGATAGAGAGAAACAAAAGTTTGGAGACGAATTCAAATATCTAATTACAATATTCAAATATCTAATTAAAATCGAGAAAATAGTTGAATTTTTTTCAAAACATTTCATATGTTACCTGCGACTAAACCAACGTCTCCGATAGCACCCCATTGAATGGCGAGACCAGGTAAACCATTAACTTGCCTCTGTTCCATCATTCTCTCCATGGTCGAATTCGCAAAACCATAATTAGTTTGACCTATATTACCACGACCGCATGCTACAGATGAAAATACCACAAAGTAATCTAGCGATGGGCAAAACTTTCTTGACACCATATCTAAATTCCTTGTAACGTCAACTTTTGGCAAAATCACCGTTTTAAAGTCAGCTTCCTCTAGATTTTCAATCAGAGCATCACGCAATACGGCTGCTAGATTAAATATACCGCCTACCGGAGCCAGCCGATTGCTTTCTTGAATCAAAAGCTCGGCACCCGATAATGTCGTAATATCTATCGTGGAGATGACGATCTTTATACCTCTTTCGCGCCAGCGACGCACGCAGAAGGATTGATAACCAGTGCGTATGCCTGAGCGCGACACGAGAACAATGATTTTAGCGCCACGGTTAATCATCCAATCGGCCAGTTCTAGACCGAATCCACCAAGACCGCCGATCAGAATATATGATTTTTCTGGATTTATATAAGTACGCGGGATCGCGGTTATTGTCTTCGGCGTCGGCGGTACACATTTCTTCGGTTCCTCATCACGGATCTTTAATAGTACTTTGCCAATGTGTTTGCCTGTCGCCATGAATCTAAATCCTTGCTCGAGCTGCTGTTCCGAGAACACAGTCGATTGCAGCGGACGTACCGCACCATTTTCGATTCCTTCCGAAAGAAGTCTTCTCAGTTCTGTTTTGTCCGAACTAGGTTGTTCAAACAATGCGTCCACGAGTATACCGTGAAAGGATGTATTCTTCAAAAACATCGACATCCCTATACGATTGTCATTCGACAAATCATACTTGCCAATTTCAAGGAAACGGCCGTTTAACGCGAGACATCGAATGCTAGCTTGCAATTTTTCCTCTGCCAATGAATTTAGCACTACGTCGACTCCACGTCCTTGTGTTTCGGTATGTATTAGCTGTTCGAAACTCGTGTCTCGAGAATTACCGATGTGTCTATCATCCAATTGCGGGAAAATTTTTTTGAGATATTCTCTTTTTTCTGGCGTGCCGACGGTAGTAAAAACGGTACAACCAGCATGCAGAGAAATGGCAATTGCTGCTTGACCGACACCACCTGTACCAGCATGAATTAACACACTTTCACCTGCTTTCAGTTTACCCCGCATAAACAGAGCATAGTAGCTAGTTGCATAAGTGATAGGTATTGTTGCTGCCTCTTCCAAAGTCCATTTGTCGGGTACCTCCCAAAGAAAGTCAGGATCTGCTAATACAATAGTCGCTAATCCTTTAGCTTTGACCATGCCCATCACGCGACGACCGTCTGTATCTCTCCCGCAAAACTCAAGTCCCAATATACATTCTTCCGCAGCCATATTTCCTGGTAAGGCATCTGGCGGTAGTTTGCCAGTCGCCAACATGATATCCCTATCGTTTGTATCATTTATATCTACTTGTCACATCTTTTTATATTATCTAAATCTCTAATTACCAATACATTATATGGGAGAAACTTACCTAAAGTTCAGTGGAGCGTAGTACACACTGCACAATTTCATATTAGGAAAACTATTAGGTCGGTAGTAACTTAACGAACCTTCGATCCATCTCAAGCTGCTGAGATCTCCTCTTGTTAAGGAGTTGACGTAAGCATGCTCTACCTGCAGGGAAGGTACGTTGGTTTGTTGATCTAATGGCAAGTGCCGATAACTGCCCCAGTGTCCTCCTTTCAATACGTTGGCCATCAATCCTTTGTTCAACTGTTCCATATAAAGTCGTACGGATAAGTCAAATTTGGGGGCGTTCTTGTCCTGAATAAAAATGTAGCGCACGTTTGCATCGCCCATCTCGCGTCGTACACAAGTCATGAATCCTACCAAGCCTGCGAACAAAAAATGACGTTAACCTCGATTCTATTGAATCCTAAACGAGATAATTAAAAAGATGGTTTAAAAAATTTTTCTTGAGATTTTACCGAGCGTTTCTTCGCCTTGGGATACTAAAAGTACTTCTTGTCCTTTGCTATTAGATTTTTTCAGTGCTGCTTTTACATCCTCCAGCCATGAGAGATTTTTCTCTGTGATTTGTATTACTATCGGATGATTTGTATTACTATCTCCCCTCTTCTTCTGCTTCTTCAGCAACAAATAAGTTTTTCCTACGGAATCGATTTGTTTCCCAGCCAATACCAGATCGGTTTCTTTCAACGCATTCTTCAAATCTAGTTGCATGGAAGTTTCCTCCAGAAGAATATAATAGTTTGGTTTTAAGGCAGCTGTTAGGTTTTTGAGAATGGCATAAGATCGATTGGATAGAACATCCGTCGCTATGATAAGATGCGCATCCTGAGCAGGAGGTGTGTCGATCACATTTATCGTTATTACGTTAGCCTTAATGTTCATTTGATTCAAACTCGCCGTGTAATTATCGGAAGAAACTGCGACCACTTGTAAATCAATCTGAAACAAAAGCAGCGAATTCACGATAACATTAATATTAAAAAAAAAAGAATACTTGGAAAAAAAGCAATTACAGAATAGGAATAAGGTATAGATGTCGATGTCATTTGTGACAAGTCTTGTTTAGCTTGCTTTCACTGTGCATTTAAAATTGCATACAAACGAAAAAGTAAAATTCAGCAGTTTGGCAAGACAAAATTTTTTTCCAAATATCAACAATCGTGATCTTCTCATTTCTATTTGTATCAAACTTGCTTATTAAACCCATATATGTGTAAAAGTTTTGAATGAGGAAATATTACTCTGATAGTGAAACAAATAATTTGTCAAGCTTACGGTATACTTACGGTAGGCGGATTCGGTTCACTATGAAAGATGTCGAGTATAAGCGGAGCCAAGAGAGCTTCCGCGGTTCGTTCACCTGCAACTTCCACGGTCTTCAATTTCAATGCCGTCATGTTCTCACACATGATTTGCAAGAGTACGGTGAGTGCGTGTAGCTTTCCTTTCGTTGGATCCTCTACCAGACTATGCAAATTTTCATAGGGCACGAAAGTATACCGTTCATACTTAGGATGAGCTTGAGTCTGCTGTCGTCGAGGTGCTAAGGAAGATTTCAATCCTCTCATCTCAATACCACCCGATTTGACGACATTGATGTTCTTGTAGTAATACACTGGTAATCCGTCGTCCTTTGCTAATGTCTCCACTAAACGTTTATGAAGAATGGGATTAATCGCCATATACTGGAGACGCGATGGTAAATACATCAAATTGTTGTCAAAGGATATTATGGTCATCTGAAGCATGGTATCCATATACGAAACCCATTGGTCAAACCAGCAAATTTTACCAGCAACGCCGTAGTTGTCGCAAGATTTGATTCCTTGGAAAATATCGCGATATTCGTATCCACGCAACCTCAGAATCTTGTAAATGTCTTTGGAATTCAATGGCAATGTCTCTTTGTCGGCAGGCAAAATCGGCGGTTGCAATTTGAGCTGATCTTTTTCTATGTTTTCAGAGACGCGAACGTTTCCACTGACGGCGACGCTGTCGGCTTCGCAAATCTCAAAGTCGCCGGTTCCCTTAAAGATGGTTATCGACAATTTCACCGGTCTCTCCTTCGGCATAATAGTGGCTCGCTGAAACCGTAGGTTTTCGAAGATCACTGGCAATCGCTCGTAGTCCATGCTGAGCAGTTTCGCCAATGTTTTCCACACCAAGAAAATATAGCCAGTGGCTGGGAAAATGATTCGTTTGTCTATCTGATGTCCCGCTAGATACGCGTCCGTTTCTTTCGACAGATCCAATTGAACGATGCACTCTCCCGATTGCTCTGTCTGTTTGAAATTAATCACGTCCCACTCGGTGGAGTGATCCCACTTAACTAAAGGCCCGATCATAGGTGTTCCACGACCGACGGGAAAACTCACGGGAGGATATAATTTGGAAATGTTGGGTTGCACGCCAGCCATGTACAGTTTGCCCACGTTAGACAGAAGAAAAACCAAATTGTCCGAATGATCCTTCTTTTGCAGGCCAATATTAGTCACCGTTGATGGTAGCGATCTGCGTAAGATCGGCAATAACAAGGAGTGCGGCGCGATGTCAATCGTTATCGCGTTCTCCGGGATGTGCGCGATCGCTTCCTGGAAGAGCACGGGAGACAATAAATTGTTGACATGATACGCGGACGAGCTCAACTGTGCGAGTGGGCTGCCCCATGCGGCTTCGGGCACAGAGCTGGAAATCCATTTGGCCGATCTCTGCTTGGGACTCGGTATGATCTTGTCGAGCGAAGCGCGCAGCTTAGGCCCAGCGGAAGCAATGTATTTACTATGAAAGGCGAAACCGGCACTTTTCACAGACTTGGCAAAAATATTCTTGCTATTCAGCATTCGTACGAAGTTATTAATAGACTCAATCGGACCCGAAATAGTGACCGAGTCCGCAGAATTGTGACAAGCCGGAATGATATCGGGCGGGCACATCTTTTTAGTCTCCTCCCAGCTTAAACCGACAGCTGCCATGGCACCCGGTTCCAAATTGGACTCCAAGATCGCTTTGCCTCTGCAATAAGCCGCTAAGACGGTCTGCTCTGGGGTAAACGTGCCGTCAGCGTAAGCACAACCCAACTCTCCAACGGAATGTCCGACTATATTGTCCGGGTATATACCTATCGACGTCAGTACGTCGACGAGGGCGACCTGCAGAGCCGCGATAGATACGAAGGAATTCATTATATTCTCGTACATTTCGTTCGTGCCATTCATGATAATGTCCATAAGATCAATACCGTGGGGTGCTAATGCCTCCGCACTTCGTCGCAAACTACGTTGAAAAGTTTCGATACCGAATAATTGACGACCCATTCCTGGCCATTGCGAGCCCATGCCGGAAAATATGAACCAGATTGGACGCCTCTCGTTCTGTTTTGCTATCTTGGTCATTTCGCGTGTATCATCAACGCCGAGTATCTCGTAACCGCGAATTCCGTGTCCAGAGATATCGTTATTGTGCAGCGTGTGTAACAGCAAGAGAAACTCGTCATCTCTTCGGTGCTCCTTCGCTTTATCCAATAAGATGTGCACAGCCTCTTCCGTTCGACCCGATACGGTAATCAATCTGGGTAACAGTTCAGTGGTGTTCAACAGTGGCAACAGCTTTGGTTTCGGATTACTACGTAGAATAATGTGCGCGTTCGCGCCACCGAAACCGAACGAGTTGATGCCGACGAGACCACCGTTCCACGGTGTGGCTTTATCGACTACTCGCATGCGTCCCTCGATTAACGCAGAGATTTCTGGATTCGGATTATTATAATGCAAATTCGCAGGTATCACGCCTTCTTCCATCGCAATCAATACCTTGGCGATCGAACACAACCCGCTAGTTGGTTCCGAGTGACCTATGTTGGATTTGACCGAGCCAATCAGTAAAGGAGTTTTCCTATCTTTGCAGAACAATTTATCAATAGAATTGATTTCCTCTGGATCACCCACTTTGGTGCCCGTACCATGTGTTTCTATGTAACTCAGACTCGTAGGATCAATGCCCGCTTCGATGTATATTTCGTTTAACAATCGATTTTGCATTTCACCATTAGGATACGTGATACCCTCGGTCTTGTAGCCATCGGTATTCGTTTTTGTGTGAACTACCGTGGCGTATACTCTGCGTGCGTCTTTTGCTTTCTGCAAGTATATCGCCACTATCGCCTCTGATCTCACGTAACCATTAGCCGCGGCATCGAACGCTTTACTCTTACCATCCTGCGACAGCATATTCAGCTTATGAAATTGAAGCGAGGTTGATGGCCTTAATGTAAGATTCGCTCCGGCAACGATCGCAGCGTCGCACTCGCCGGCACGGATTGCAGAGATTGCCTGATGCATGGCGAACATAGCCGAGGAACAAGCCGTGTCGATCGCGAAACTGGGTCCAGTAAAGTCGAACGAGTAAGAGATTCTGTTGGCTAACATCGCACGGCAACAACCGAGCATTCCGTATCCTGTAACCAAGCGCAAATTTTTCGGTTTATTTCTTAACGGACATCATATAATCTGTTTCCTCGTATCATAATCGATATTTATAACAAATAAATAATGATTCTATTTACATATAGTAAAATGACATATCGTTCGCAATTTTTTTCTCGTCTTTAAACGAGTCTACCGATTTTAAATAGGTATTTAGAAATTTTTCTCGTATTTAAACCTGAGTGAAATCTGAGCGAATACCTCGCGTAAATATTTGTTTTGCAACGGATAAGAATTAAAAAAGAGAATTTATTAAAAGAAAAAAATTTATTGAAAGACGATACTCGTCGCCACACTAATTTTTATAACATACAAACCGTTTATGCTCTCTATGTCTCTCGTCTGAACTTCTTCCGTTTCCGAAGTAGAAACACCGAGGTATACACCGGTACGCGATCCTCTGATCGTCGAGGGATTGACGCCCGCGTCAACTATCGCCTCGTATGTAACTTCTAACAGAATACGAAGCTGCGGATCCATCGCGTGCGCCTGTTTGGAATGTATTCCGAAAAAAGTAGCGTCGAAATGACTGAGATCTTTGATCTTGCCGCTTCTGCGTGGTAGCCCATATATACCCGCTGTCCAACGACTCTCGTTATCAGTGACCATGTCCACTTCTTTCATCAAATTCTGCTTAAACTCTTCGATATTTGACGACTCGGGCAGACGACCTGAAAGAACATTGATTCGATTAAATGCTTCCATAAGCGATTCAGTTAGTCGTGCCGCGACTGTTTGCGATAGACGATTACCCGATATGCCTGTGATGATGATGTCACTGTCAACGGAATACGGTACTCCATTTCCGATTACAGATTCCCGCGCCATGGGGCTATTTATGCTTTCAAACTGAGCAGGCATCTTTTCGAAGATTGAGCTCTCTTCCCTCTGAATGGATCTCTATTTGTAAAGAAATAATCGATAATCAAATCTTTGCTCTTTTTAACACATTTATTCAACTATTCTACTATTCATTCTCTATTCGGTGAAGAGAAGAGAAGGGGAGAGAGGGAGGGGGAGAAGCGTTTGGGAACTAGAAAAAAATTTAAATAGATAATACTTTTTTCAATGTCTTTTAAACAAATGCAAAATCACAATGTTTAATAAAAATATACCTTCTTCCTTATTTGAGAGAGAAAAGCATCAAGTACAAGATTTAAAAATGATGAAACTTTTAATAAGCTTACGAAATATTATCAACAAAATAATTCGCAACAGTTTTATGTCATGCCAGACATATAAGAATCATTTACGATTTATGCTTATATTTACGATTTATGCTTATCTGTCACGTCGAAATCTTAACGTCTTGGAATCTCGTTTTGCCTCTTTGAACGCGCTCGCGCTCGATTAGCGAATGATTACCATATGCGATTACCTTCAATTGACATATAGTATACTTAATTGAATATTTTCAATAAATTTTCATTTGGATAAATCAACTTTGCTTGATAAACATTCACAGAATCGTCGTTCTTTCTCCAAAAAATCCATCAATCGTTTCTCGCAAAGTAGATACTTACAATATTTTATGTTGTCAGAGATTGTTACAATTTCAAAAAATAGATAACCATGTGTACTAATGAATCAAAGATATATTATTGCAAACTGAATATTAAACAATGGAAATGATCCATTTTATTTTCAAAGTAATCGCATTGTCTGATATATATATATATATATATATATATATATATATATATATATGTCTTTTGCAAGAGAAATATCCCGTATTTTATCATACTTATTTAAAAAAGTGAATATTTTTCAACAAAGTTATCTCATAATTTTATCCGAAATCATAGTACAAAAGATAAATCGATCGACACGACGAGTAAGATTATCAATTCAATTGCCAATTGTTACATTTTAAAATATCCATAAGTCACGCGTTTACGGAACTTTGTTGACAAACGTGTCATTAAACGTTTCGCTATATCTTGATAAGAGAAATTATCAGTATCGTAACGTACGACAGTTAGCGATGATTAAGATATCCCTCGTATTGGTCACATACCGCGGAACTCCGTGTTAATGCCAAAATAACACGATGATTCGGAAATCGGCAAATGTCACGTCATACGTGCGACACAATTACGCATAATGAAATCGAATTGAATCCTTCAATGCTCGACCGACTACCACTCCTTGCGATACGATCGCAAACTTTTGTTTCTCACTAACTTTTGCTTTGACATTTCTCGTCTCGTATTCTCGTACTCTTGCTCGGCTCCAATGTCATGTATTTAATTTTTTCAATATTAAGAGACTATCTGCGGACTATCTTTGTATCGTCGTAAGAAAGTCCGAACTTAGTCCGACTCCATCCGTCTAAATATCATCGATTCCATTAGATAAGAATATTTACATATTGCATATTCAGCAACTTTTCGCCAAGCTACTCCTTGACAAAAAGTTACAAAACCTTAGATAATGGTAATCTTGGTTAAGATAATGGTAATGATGAAATAAGTAGAAGACATTCGTGGTCGTTGGTTACATCACTTGCATAAAGTCGGAAGGTCGACTCCTCAATCGACTCGTCATATCATATTATCGCGGCTCGTGCGATTGATGATGCGTGCGTAATTGCAAATTCAATTCGATTCAATTCAATTTTCTCTGACACGACTATTGTGCATGCGTTACGTCGCAATGTTTGCTAATTACACAACCGGTGTGAATACTTAAAGACAACGGGAGCCGTTGATCCGAGTTTCCTATCCCACTGTCTATGTACAGGCGAAGAACCGCGTTGACCTTGAAAATATATCGTGATATAGTATGACATGTTCTGTGTGAGTTATTTCGTAAAAAGATAGATAAGTAGACACAGTTTACCGCTTCTCAATAATCATATCTTTAGATTTTCTTTTTCGTTATAGCGTTTTTTCACCCTATTTATAATTTTTTTTTCTTCCTTAGCGTCTCGAATTGAGAAAGATGAACTAGCTAAAATCTAGAAATATTTAGTAGTAATCTTATGAATGTCACGAGCAAAATGTTGCAAACAACAATAACTATTTTCGTGCAACAAAATATCTTTGTATGATAAAAATATTTTTTATAAAGAATATAAATATTACTTATAATGTATAGTATGTCTTGATAGATTTATCTCGATATCTAACATTTAATTTTACGATGTAATAATATTCGCCTACAAGTTCAAAAAAATTTTTTGAGATTTTGAGAAAACTTCACATATTTTACTGTTTTCAGAAACAAATAAATATTGTGTGTGTGTGTGCGCGCGCGCGCGCGTGTGTGTGTGTGTGTGTGTGTGTGTGTGTGTGTGTGTGTGTGCGTGTGCCTGCGTGTGTAGATTTTGAATTTGTTTTTTTTTTTTGCAAACTATTCGGTCTTTTATCAGACCGAAAATTAATCACTCGATGACAGTTCTCTCCTCTTTTCTCATTACCATTATCTAAACTAAGTAATGCACTCAACAATAAGTAGTCATATATCTGATGGAGTGCACTTCACTTGCATATCAAAAATTTTAGAGATCACGGTAACGATAAGAAATCATAAGTGTTGTATTTTTACCGCACTTGCTTTAGACTTAATATTAACTTGATGTTAATCGCGTACGAGCATCTCTCGCACGTACCTAATATAACTGTATAAAATAATGCTCCATTTTCAGATATAATTTTACACATGTTGTAACGAAATACGTTATTACTTCGTTTAATATAAAATAATTAGTGATGAAATAATATCAAATAAATGAAATAAGTGCGATATCAAGTCCAATCCATTTGATGTTGCCGGCCGATCAAATTATCAAATTAGTTACTTCTAAATGTACATAAAATAAGTTAGAAAAAATATATTCATAAAAATAATTTCAAATTTTACACATATCATATTATATTCTGCCAATAAAATTTTGTGACTAATAAAGTTTTGGCAACTGTGTAACGTGCTTGAGCACACCAATTCCAAATATTTTGATTGACTATCTCTACTCTCATTTGTTATTTAAACATTTAAAAAAAAATGTAATGTTTGTAAAATATCGATATTCAATTTTAATCAAAGTTTTCGAGTTATTAATAGCTCATAAATAAGCCTCTTTACAAGTTGCATTAATATTGTAAATATAATGAATAACTTACATTTGCAATGATAATACGATCGAGATAAGAATATGTTTATTGTTCGAGTTACACGTACATGTATGTATGTAAAGCAGAGGTCAATTATCGCCTTCCTATATCTTATTACATTGATCACTTGACGGCTAATTGATTAACCGTTTATATCTCATTAAAACGTGTCATTACAGGCAGGTCGCATGGTGAATTAATATCATAGTTCGCACGTTTAGTATTGTTTGCGCCCACGCGACAAACGCGTACGATTATAATTGGTAATTGAGGAATAGTCAGTAATTGTACTCTTGAAATGAGAAAAGTACTATCATACTAAAGGAAATCACGTTAAAAATAAGACGCGACGATTTTGAATAAGAAGAAATATAAGTAAGAAATGTGAGAAAATGTAATTTCCATAAATGTTTGTATGTAAATGTTTTCAATTTTACCAAGATTTGATTAATTAATTTAGCATTGCTAAAGATCAAAGATCTCTTAGTTCAAGTTTTATTGTTCTTGCCACACTAGCAAAATTTGAATTTTTAATCTCATAAGCCTTCCTTTTGCATGTTTGTTTCACGTTTGTTTTTTGCTATTTATATGTACGAGTATATGTAGAAATGAGTCATTTGTAAGTCAATTTGCAGGTACAGTTTGACATCATACTTACAAGACCTATGTACATTATGACGTAATACAAACACAAACGTAGTGCCGTCGATCCTGGCAATGTTGAGTCTTCAAGTATAAGAAGTAACATTTCCGAATGGTTTCTTTTGACAATACAATTGAGTACTTCCCGATGTTTATTATTCAAGTAAGATTACGTGGTTACATTATGCAAAACTCAACGTTTGCATTTGTTATGTTCGTTTCGCTTCTCGCGCACTATTTATTATATATCCACCAATATAAAATTTCTACCAATATAAAATTAATTATAATCCCGGTTTAATTTATCCTTTCTTAATTCTTGGAATTAAAAATAGAAAAGTTAAACGGAGATAAAAAACTAATCTACATTAATAAAAATAGACATTAACATATTTGCGTTAGCAACGATCATTCCTACAACACGGTAGCCGAATACTTTTATTTTTTCTTCTATGCTTCAAATATTTTAAACATTTTACATTTTTATTGTCGCGTCCCTCTATATATTGTTTATATATCTTTAAACAATTATATGTATCTTTGTATAATAATTAATATTTTTATTCCACTTCGCGATCGATTATGTTTATATTTCATACATATAACATCTTTCAGAAATATATGTAATTTAATTTTGTGTAATGAGATTATAAATTTTTCATACAAGAATTGATGAATTTCTAAACTTACACGAGTCAACAAATTTTGCATAAAATTGAATGTTCCTTCATACACTTGAATGTTCCTTCAATTTAAAAAAAAATTTTTCAGACGACTAGAAAAACTTATTCATTCATAACTTTTCATCTCGAGTATCTCCTACATGTGTCCGATACATCTATGATATATTTTTCATATAATATTCAATTATTTAATTATCAAGATTGAAAAGACTCAAAAGTATAATCGCAAAAATATAACGTAGGAATTACGTAATTGCGATCCACTTCATCAATTTTTTTTGAAGCGAAATATTCTGTTTGGTGTTTTTCCAACTAATAATTTTTTCAGTACATTGAAAAACACGATTATTCATACATATACATATACATATAGTTTAATTTATGGACAAAAAGTAGAAAATAAAGGAATTAATCGTAAATAATTAAATATACCTTATTTATCAATTCACGTACGTAAGGGAATTGGAGTGCATCTGGATCACCCAATCAATTATACTTGGATAAAACGTATTAAACAATTTGGAAACAAAAGTATACATAAGAGTAATAATTTAAATCGTCTCTCTCGTGTTCTTTAACGCTTTTTATAATTCATCTTTAATATAATCTAGCTATAAATGTATACTTCTTTTGTACAACTTTATTTTTCGGGTTACCCGCGTGGAGCTGAAGGAAGAGAAAAATTTCTGTAATTTTAGAGAAGTTGTCGCGAAACCGTAACGTACGCCGCTGGCTTTTTCCACTGGCGACAACTCCCTCGGGAAGCGAACGATTCGTAGCCGCGCAACGTAGCCCGATATCGATCGCGCCCCCTCAAGACTCACCTGATTCACGCTCTACGCACACGAGTAATTCCGGGGAAACGTCGAGAGCGGAGCGAAGGACCAATCCGTTTCCCGTTACACCGCGTAGATCTTTTGAATCTCCGCGCGGGCCTCTCCTTCTCGCGTGATCTCGCGTGATCTCGCGTGATCTCGCGGGACTGGCTCTCGTCGTCCTGATTTGGTCACCTCGCAGAGAGACTGGCGCGAAAGGACTCGCTCTCCAGAGAGAAAGGCAATCGTTGGACAATCAAACTGAGGACTGACTGACTGGCTGGCATCCACCTCACCAGCATCTTATTATTGAATCGCACGGTCCCTGTGGTGGCTATGGTCTGACATCAGACCATGTGATGACGACCAATCGGAGCGCGATTTTGGCGGGCGCATGCGCGTACGCCCGGGCCCGGCACCCGACCCGGCACGCACCACCGCATCCGCGCGTGCGACCGTGCGACGTACGATCGTGCTGCTTAATTTCGACGTACGATCGTGTCTTGCGAGATCGTGCTCGTGACGGATGACGGATGGTATCTCGGTTGACCCTTCGGGCACGAATCATCCGGCCCGAATTATGTCGGCCAGCTTGCTCGACGCGATTCCGCGAGATGCTCACCACCACGGAATACCGCGGAGGATACGCGAACATGCGTTTATCACATGTCGTAGCGCCGCTGCCCCTCTATTCTATATTCATTCATTTTGCGCGACGCCGCGTCGCGACGACATTATCAGGGGGATGATAATGTTGTAGCCGTTGCCGATCACCGTTCTGGCGATCGATTGTGCGTCTCTAAACGTGAGGTGAGGTGAAAATTACAGAGTGAGAAAATTTACTAGCTTTCATCGACATATAATCGACATGCAGATATTCTAGTGAGTTTTCTCGCTTTTCTAATTTTCTAATCTCGTTTCAAAAGACACACGATCGACTTCCGACGATCTGAAAAAACACGTGAAGCGGAGAGAATTGGAGAGAATCGATACTTGGATACTGACGATGATGCGAGATGCTCGTCATTTTATGCATGCAACTATTAATATAGTGTGATCAATAAAATAATATACTAACAACTGGAAATAATGAAAAATCAATAATACTGATTTTTAAGACTAAAGGCCATTTTTCGAGAGAGAGAGAGAGAGAGAGAGAGAGAGAGAGAGAGAGAGAGAGAGAGAGAGAGAGAGAGAGAGAGAGAGAGAGAGAGAGAGAGAGAGTAGAGAGAGA